CTATACACAAATGTTTGTATATGTTATTTCAATATGTGTACCTACATAGTTGTGTGTATGTGTATACATATACACATACACAGGTGCATATTTGGGTAATCATATTGATGCGTGTAATTGTTCCTATATATTATATATCTTCGGTGAAGGCATTGGATAGGGAACCCTTAGATAAGGAATCCAGGGTCTGGAGGCCGGTGGAACTCCAATCGAAGCGTGACCATGAATATCACCACCGTTTTTCATCATATAAGGAACACTCCAGGGTCTGCAGACCCCTGGGCACGTTCCTTAACGAACGCCCCCACCGTAGAGAGAGAGAGAGAGTGAGAGAGAGTGAGAGAGAAAACAAACGAGAGAGAGAGAGAGAGCGTCTCGCAGTTGCTGATAAGGGTGAGGGGGCGGGCTCGAGGTGGGTCGCGGGTGGTCGCGGGTGGGTCGGGAGGTGGGTCGCGAGTGGGTCGCGGGTGGGTCGCGGGTGGGTCGCGGGTTGGTCGCGGCTTGGTCGTTGATGGGTTGCGCCTTGGTTGCGAATAAATCGCGGGTGGGTCGCGAGTGGGTCGCGGGTGAGTCGCGAGTGTGTCGCGGGTGGGTCGCGGGTGGGTCGCGGGCGGCTCGCGGGTTGGTCGCGAGCCGGGTTGCGAGTGGGATGACGGCAACAGCGATACCAACAACAAAGAGCAACAGTCAGTTTGATAATGGTTGTTCCTATCTACTTGCGTACCATTCACCACGTTTATTCCAAGCCCTCGGTACGCGCCCTGCCTTCTTCGTCTTCGGTCGTGTTCCCTTCTGGGGGTACATCTTCCTTACCTGCCACGTGTACTCTGCGCAGCCTTTGAAACAGGCGAAGAGAGGACGGATGCAAGTGGGAGGGGGAAGGATGGAGCAAGAGAGAGATGAGCAGGAGGGGTGGTAGGAGCAAACAAGGTTAACCCCACCGTGCGGGTCGGAAAGGCGGGCCCAGGCGGCCAGGTCAAGCAGGCGGGGTGCTGAAGCGTGAGTCTTGCATGAATCGCGAGGATGTCTCAAACTATAGCGCGATTCCCAAATACATCCTGAGGAAATCCACAGCGAGAGCGTGATTTCTAAGTGTCGAGGGCGCGGCATTTACATAACTTGCGCGGATGTCCCACGCGAGAGCGCGATTCCTGCAGAAGTTGTCAGGAAGTCCTTTGCGAGAGTGCGACGTTGGAAGAACTTGTAAGGAAGTGTCCGGCGGGAATGCTGTTAAGAAATATGATCCCTCAGGCCTTCTTTTGTTTCGAAAGGTGCGAGCCCCAGGGGGAGCACTTTAATTAAAAAACGCAAAGAGCCCCTGGGGGATCAACCATCTTTCAAAACCAAAAAAACGTGAATTCAATCGGCACCGCGGAACCCCACCTCACACACGCACCCAGGGACAGTGAATGACCGTCCGGCCTCTTCACTCTGACATATCGAATGTGTATATTTCCATCTGTATGTATTGGCAGGGAGCTACCCATGCACATGCATATATTCACATACGCATATATATATATATATATATATATACAGTATGTCGATATACATACATAAATCCATCCATCCATACAACATACATACATACATACACATATATATATGCATTGACGCTTTGCCCTTCTTAGCCTCCGCTCGGGAAGGTGACTCTTCGCAGCGGCGTCTCGATTCACGCGCTTTTCCGAATTCCTGTTCAGGTGACTTGTTTTCGGACACCCCGAGGGGTTGAGCTGGACGTCAAGGAGCAGGGTGGTGGGGCCCGGTGGGGGGCACGAGGGGGAAACAAGACGGGAGGCGGGTGATCAGGAGGAAATTGGTGGGAGCAGTATAAGGAGGAGGGGAAGCGGGATCAAGGAGAAAGAGCAGAGTGAGAAGATGGTGCATCCTTCCACCTCCCGATTGTTTGGCGATGCCTGGGTCTGAGTTTGAGGGGAACTCGATAGAGGATGAGATGCCATCTAGAGCCCAGCTTCTCATACTGATCGAATTCTCCATGGTGCCCCCGAGAAGGGCCAAAATGGCCTCCTACAATCTCGACCCTTAGGCACCTCCCTTTTGCATCCTGTTCGTGCATCGGAAGGATCCCTTTGCACCGCTTCAGTGGCGCCCGTGCCGATGCTGGCAACGCGAGCGAAACTTCAGGCGATAGCGCTTCAGGAAGAAAAATCGATCTCGAACCTCGGGCATCCCCAGACATCGGGCGCTTCCATCTGCTCGATGCGCGAGCCTCCAGACCTTTCAGCCGCTCCCCCAGGGCCGACGCTTCTTCCCGAGTCGTTCTCTGATAGCGCCCGCGGCCCTAAGCAGGCCTGCCCAGAAATCCGACGTCTTGGCTTTGATCCATGCACACTGTTGTTAGAAACGAGCACACTTAGAAATGAGCACGATCAGAACGACGTGTACGGGGCGCCTACGAGTCTCAACCCTCTCCCCAGGGCCGGCTGGTCACCCAGAGCGAGTGTTGCTGCCGGCGGGAGCCCCCTGAGGCTGGAGCCACTTGGGAACATCCCGGCGTGGTCTGTTCACGACGCACGTATGTCTGGTCCCAGGGCCAGGATATAATAATTGTGTATGTATATATATATATATATGTGTAAAGACCTTTGGCCCGAGAGGTCCGTTACCTGCCCCCCCCCCCCCAGGTAACGTTAACGATCGTACGTGCGGGTGGGGATTGGAGCCTCACCCACGTGTTAGGGTTCGCGCGCATATTATGAAGGTCGCAGCGCACCCCCGCCCCGACCTTCCCCACCCCGCCTAAGCGTGGCCGTTACCCGGGTCATTACCGTTCACGGACATAGCATAACAGGAGATACTCCAGCAAAGCACCTCAACAGCAGCCAATGTGAAGAGGCCGGTCGACGAGTAAGAGGTTGAATCACGGCCATGCGCACCTTCGTGTTTTTTACATTGAAAAAATAGCTGGTCGTGGCCGTACGAACCAAGCATGTAGCCAGCATTGATCGGCGGCGAGCGAGGGGGGAAGTGAGAAGGAGAAGGTCTTCTCAGAAGGCGGCGGGACTTCCCAGAAGCCCTCCGGTCTTTTGAGAAGTGTTATGTGTCTTTGGGAGAGGTTCATGAAATTTCTCAGAAGGCCGGGTGACTTCGGAGCCTTCTGAGAAGGCCTTCTCCGTCTCATTTCCCCCCTTCGCTTGTCGCCGAATTGAGGCGAGAGCACGATTTCTGAATTTGTTGTGAGGGAGTCTCGGGCGCAACCGCCGCTGCTTCCGGCGGACTAGGGCTCTACGTCCTTCTTGTGGGACTGTTCTGTGGTGATGTTCTACCTCTCTTCGAACCATCGAGCAAGCCGGCATTACGGTCAGGAAGTTTTGGATAGCGCGGCGCTCCGCCAGTTCTGGCCCACCCCGCTTCGTCGCGACACGTTATACACTTTCTGTCAAGCAGTGGCGAAGCGTCCTGGCTCGCCTGTAGGCCTACCAAGGAATGTTCTAAGAACCCCTTGTGATGTGCACGAAATGTTCTTGGAACATTTCTGGCCGGGACCGTCCCGTTTGAACACATCGGGTTCACGATCCAAGGACCATGACTCTTGCTCTTTGAGCATACCGTGCCGTTTTTAATAGATGTTCCTCGTGCGGATCATGTATTGAAGATGCAGGGATTTAGTATTAACAACAACGATGAGATCATGCATCAACTTATTCATACATTAATCATAGATTAATCAATCCTAAATTTTTCAATCCTATGTATGAAAAAAAACTGCCCTGGATCTGGGTCCTCAGCACATGGCGTGGTAGGCCTATCGGGCTGCCGGTAAGGTCGGTCCCTACTCCGTCCCAGCTCCCCGGCGTCAGCGGCACGAGCCTCTCCGGGCCTCCCGCCCCGCGGAGCGAGGCGACACGCCGCCCGCTCTCGCGGGGGGCACACTTTGTGTCGCGGGGGGCCTCCGCGGTGGCACTCCGAGCACAAGATTTTTTGAGTCGGGCCTGTCCCTCTCCAGGGGGGAAGTCAAAACAAGAGTAGCAACAGATAGTCTGGGGACGATGTTTGAAGTCTTTATCTGACTATGCGTGGGTATGTGTTGGATATATTGAGTTTTTCGCCCACATCCCCGCTATGGGGGGACAGGTCCGACCTGACACAAGTTCCCGACCGCATCAGAGAACAGTCCCCCGGTCGGTGGTTCAAAGATGGGGTCCCGAGGTATGGGGCCCTGAGGATAGGAAGGGATCCCAGGGTGGATCTGCGTCGGTTGAGGCACCTCGTCCTCAGGACCCCATCCCATCTTTCAGGGGCAGCGGCAGGGGGGGATAGGCACAGGGAGGGGGGGTGCATCGACCCCCAATACGCCCATTGATCGCCGATCGGGGCCGGATGGCCCCAACCCGCCCAGGAGCGTGCGGATGCAGGCTCGGGGGCCTGCCGCCGATCTGCCGGCGAGGTATCGCCGATTTCAGGCCGTTGTTCCCCCCGCTGTGCCAGTCCCTTAGTGGGCCCTGGAAACGACAGGGCCGTTTTTTTACCGGTCCCGTTTTGCCGTTTTTTTACTGGTTCCGACGCCCTTTTTTTATTGGTTCCGTCGCTGTTTTGTGACCGGTTCCGGCTCCGATTCCAATCCTGGAGCCGTTTTTTTGCCGTTTCCGGTCGCCGTTTTTTTGCCGTTTCCATTTTCAAGGGACCTTTTTTTGGAAACGGTGAAAAACGGCCTTGCCGTTTCCGGGGCCCACAAAGGCCAGTCCCCCCCCCGCATACTCACCGGGCGCGTTCCACCATTCGCAAAGGGCCTGCTCGCAAACGTCCAGAAAAAACACATGCCCGTGTCAATGCGGTTCCTCGTAGGCCCCCTGTGGCGGATCCGGGCCCTCTGCGAGCAGCTGCTCTGCGGGTAGCGGCGCGCGCTCGTCTGCGTACGCATCGCTGCCCCTCCCACGCCCCGCGTCCGAGCCTCGGCGGGCGCGCCCCTCGCGCGTCCCCGCGCGGCGGCCCTCGCGCAGCGCAGCGGGTCCGCCGCGCGCGCCACCCCTGCGGCGGAGGCCGCGTCGGGAGACTCCTCGAGGCCGCCGTCTTCGGGGGGGCAGGACTCCGGGCCGCCGCGCTCCCCTTTCCACCTCAGCTTCCCCTCCCCCCCCCCTCCTCCAACCTCCATTCTCTTCCTCCCTCCTCTCTCCTCCTGCTCCTCCTCCTCCTCCATCCTTCTGCATCCACCTCCTCCTACTCCTCCTCTTCCTCGTTCTCCTCCTCCTCCTCCTCTTCCTCCATCCACCTCCTCCTCCCCCTCATCCATCCTTCATCTTCCATCCTCTTCATCCATCCTCCACCCATATCCTCCATCCTGCATCTCCTCCTCCGCGTCCTCCTTCATCCGCCTTCCCCATCCTTCCCCCCTCCCCGCTTTTTCCCCTCTTTCTCCCTCCCCCTCCTCATCCTTCTCGTCCCCCTGCTTCTCCTCCTCCTCCTTCTCCTCCTCCGTACTCTCCCTCCCTTGCTCCCCCTCCTCCTCCAAATAGTGGGTTCTGCCACACAAATTTCGCCTTGCCAGTTTGAACCGTCTCGCTCCTCGTGTTGTCTGGCCGAATGCGGGGTCCGGCAAGCACTGCAAGACGAGGTCCACGGCGGCGTCCTTGCCCGGCACCCTGCCCGGTGCCGGAGTTCACGGGTGCAGTGGCGGTTGTGTGTGTTTTGTTTGTGTGTGTGTGTTTTTGTGTGTGTGTGTGTGTTTTGTTGTGTGTGTGTGTGTGTGTGTTTTTTTGTGTGTGTGTGTGTTTTGTTGTGTGTTTCGTTTTGTGTGTGTGTGTTTCTGTTTTTTTCCCTGTGTGTTTTTTTCCCGTGTGTGTTTTTGTCCCACCATCTCCGCAAATTGTCGGGCGAGACGATGCGGCCGTCGGCCGCCGGCAGATCCCTTTCCTTCTTATATTCTACGGCTGCGGGAGATGACCCTTTCATTGGGCAGCGGCGGTGGCCCCCGCCCTCTGCACCGAGGAGGACGAGCGCGTTGGGAGGCGAGGCGGCGACTCGCCTCACGTGGTCGTCCACCCTCCGGCAGGCGAGGCCTCTCGTGGAGAGCAGTGCTGGGTATAGCCGGTGCCGTTTTTTATACATGCTCCGCGTGCGGATCATGCACCAAAAATGCAGGGACTTAGTACTAAAATCAACGATGAGCTCATGCATAGATGTATGAATCATGTTTTTAAAGCTGATGTTTTTTATAAAAATCCTATGTATTAAACGCTGCCCTGTAGCCAGGACCCCAGGTAAGGGGGCCCGGTTAGCAGTGGGGCCCCGGAGCCCTTGAATTTGCCAGAATCACGAAACCAGGTCTGCCGTAGTTGGCGTTTTTTTCGGGTGACGGCAGCCCCGGTTCGTGGAACAGGGGGGGGCGCGTCCCCCAGTACACATCACTAAACCGGGTCCCTACGAACCCAGTTCTGCCAACGCCCGAAAGTGGGTGGGCCCGTCGGGGCGATCATGTTGTCATTTTCCAGCATTGGTTGGGTCATGGATCATGGCGCCAACATTGCAGAGCGGATGTCGTTCGGAAAACGATGGGGTGGGCCCCGGGTGTCCTGGAGAATTTCGTTTTGGATTTTGCGGTGAATTTCGTGCGGACTTTTTTGGCCAGGAAGGAAGACCAAGACGAATCCACGCGAAATTCACTTCGTTTTTCGCTCGCCGCTTCGGGCAAACATCCACGCAGAAATCCACGCAGAAATTCGCTGCAGCACGTCTGCAAGGCCAGTGCAATGACATAGAGCCCGCCGGCAACGAAGCTTCTTAGAGAAGGTGTTCTGAGGTCTCGATCTGCGAGGTATGTACTAGATAATCAGGGTAGGCTATGTTCTGATGTCATGGCTTCTGTCGTCAAGAGGCCATTTCTTTATTACTTGGGGCATGACGGGCGTCATGGCCCCCGCTCCCCCCCCCTATGACGTAACGCTCCCCCCCCCAGTGCGCTCCGGGCACTGCCGCCGTGCGCATTTGGATCCGCGTAGGTGTCCGCGTAGGAATCCGCACAGGTGTCTGGTCCGCAGGCGTCGTCGTCGTCGTCGTCGTCGTTCGTCGTCGTCGCTCGTGGTTCGTCGCTCGTCGCTCATCGTCGCCGTGCGCGCGGACGCGGCTGGAGCCTGTTTTTAAGTCCGGGCCGATGACGGCAATCATATGTGGGGGAGGGGGTCGATGACGTCACGTTTCGCGCCAGCGGCGTTTGGGAATGGTTAGGAATGACGGAGGACGGGTAGCACGAACATGTGGGTGGCGATATGCACCACAACGCCTGTGTACATCACAGTGCCCGCGTGCACCACAGCGCCCGATGTACACTACAGCAGTCGCGCGCAACACAGCGTCAGTTTGTGCCACCGTGCCTGCGGGCACAGCAGCTCCTGTGTACACCACAGTGCCTCCGTACACCACATCAGCCGTGCGCAACACAGCACCAGTGTACACCACAATGCCTGCGTGCATTGCAGTGCCTGTGTACGCCACGGCGCCTGTGTGCACCACATCAGCCGTGTGCAACCCAGCACCATTGTTGTGTATAGAATTTCAAAAAGAATCCTTGTGACAAAATGGAGCGCGTGTGGACTCCAGAGAAACTATGGAAAACAAATCTTCATGGACAAAGGAGCGCCGGTGGAATCTACGAGTCCCCCCGAGTCCGCCCGCATCACCCTAACTCCCACTTGCGTCCAGGAGGCTCCAGCAAAACTGGCCGTCCGAGAACCAAGTGGACCGATTCAATCGACCATTCTGCGGTGCACGCTGAGATGCGCACGTGCGTTGTAACGCCAAGCCACACGACAGGGGGTAAGAAGGAGGAAAAGGAGGACGAGGCGTCGCATTCGATTATCAGAACTTTCCTGGCGTGGCTTTTTTGTTGTCCGCATCAGGTCCTGACGTACATGCTCCTTCTACCTGTCCTATGCACGCAGGCATTGTGGTGTACACCAGCGCTGCGTTGCACGCGGATGCTGTGGTGTAGACAGGCGCTGTGGCGTACACAGGCGCTGCGGTGCACGCAAGCACTGTGGTGTACACAGGCGTTGTGTTGCACATGGCTGCTGCGGTGTACGTACACAGGCGCTGTAGTGCTCCCAAGTATTGTGGTATACACGGGCGGTGCGTTGCACACGGCTGTTGCGGTGTACGCAGGCGCTGTGGTGCACACGCGCGGCGTGGTGCACGCGAGCGTTCTGGTGCACACAGGCGCATTGGGCAGATCGCCACTTACATGCTGCTCGCGTCGTCGCTCGTCGCTTGTCGCTCGTCGCTCGTCGCGTCGTGCGCGCGGGCGCGGCTGTGGTGCCAGAGCCACACGGCGGGGGGGGCGTCACGTCATACCCCCCCCCGCCCTCCCCCCCCCCAATGACGCCCGTCATCGCCGAACATAAAGAAACGCCTTCCAAGTCTCATAAGCTTTCGACCCTCCGAAGGGCCTGAGTCAAGTTGTTCCTCCGTGTGGCCACCTGGACCAGGAAAACCAGTGTTCTTACTGTGTGATCTCTGCGTCGAGCCTGACTCGCTATTTCGCAAGATTTGAAATAGTAGGAGCGCGGGTTCGGAGCTTGCGTCCCTTGTCGAACCTTGGATTCTAGAAGCCTCTAGAGATCCCGACTGGGCTCTCTGGGATAGTCAGAAACTCTAGTGATATTGTGCCCCTCCCCTTACCGACGAAGGCGTGCTGGCCGAACGGCACAGTGACCTTAGCCAGGCAAGAGGACTTTTCGAGGTGCACGCTTTCAAGGATTGTTCCTGCACGAGTAGCCCCGTTAGAGAGTTGACGAGAGCTGGATGGGGCCTCTCTGAGTTTAGTCCAGACAGCACTTTGCGTTGCACTGTCGTTGCGCTTGTCTTGAGCCCAGCCCCCCAAACGAGCCAAGGCGGTGGATATTAATCGCTTCGCTCATTCCGCCGGCCCATAATGTCGCACCGTGGTCGCCTGTCCGAGTGGTCGTTTGCAGTGTGGAGCTGCGGCGTCGGGAGCTGTGTAGTGTTGGGGGCGTTCTTGGGGCCCTCTTGGGCCGTCCTGGAGGCCTCTGGGGCCGTCTTGGAGCCGTCTTGGGCCGTCTTGGGGCCCTCTTGGGGGCCTCTTGGGCCCTCTTGGGGCGATCTTGGAGGCCTCTTGAGCCGTTTAGGGGCGTCGGGGCAAAGGAAAAACACAGGTTTTTGCCTCTTGGGGCCCTCTTGGGAGTTCTCTTGGAAGCCTCTTGGGGCATCTTGGAGGCTTCTTGGGCCATCTTGGAGACGTCTTGGGCCGTCCAGAGGCCATCTTGGGCGTCGTGGAGCGATCTTCGGGCGCCTCGGACCTCTCTTGGACCGTGTTGGGGGCGTTCTTGGGGCCCTCTTGGGCCTTCCTGGAGGCCTCTGGGGCCGTCTTGGAGCCGTCTTGGGCCGTCTTGGGGCCCTTTTGAAGGCCTCTTGGGCCCTCTTGGGGCGATCTTGGAGGCCTCTTGAGCCGTTTAGGGGCGTCGGGGAACCGAAAAGGTTGAAACGGCCAAATCTGTCCAAAACCCAAGAAAAAGCATGGATGTTTGCCTCTTGGGGCCCTCTTGGGAGTGCTCCTGGAGGTCTCTTGGGGCATCTTGGAGGCTTGTTGGGTCATCTTGGAGACGTCTTGGGCCGTCTGGAGGCCATCTTGGGCGCCGTGGAGCGATCTTCGGGCGTCTCGGACCTCTCTTGGATTGTGTTGGGGGCCTCTTATTCCCGGCGCTGGAAGATCCACGTCAGCACGTTGTCGTCTCTGGGGTGCTCGTGTCGAGTCGTCGACTGTTCCGATGATTCGTTCGTTTGCCTTTGTCAGACGTGCACGTGCTTGACGTCGGGGCAAAGGTTAGCTAACTTGGCCCTCGCATGCATGGTCCCGCCGCTCACTCTTGATGGCAAGCCTCGGATATCCGATTCGTGGGTCAGGATGTGAGGGAGCCTCCGCCCGAAGAGGCCTCGGAGAACGTTGCTCGTGAGCTCGTTGGTCGCCTTGTGCGGCCTACCTCCTGTAGAGTTTGCCGAGGGTTCCCTCGAGTTTGCTTCCTCGGCTCCTGCTCTCACAGCGTTGTGTTGTCTCTGATGTTGTTGTCTCTCTGATTTAGCCACGGTTCGCCTCGCTCGGGCTGCATTGAATGTGTTCAGCGTTTGCAGCCTCATTTGCACCCTTAGCTTCAGGCGCCCTGCAGCGGCTTGGGTCGAACAAATCCCCCTCCTCCTCCTCCTCCTCCTCCTCCTCCTCCTCCTACTCCTCCTACTCCTTCCGCCCCCCTTTCTCCTCCTCCCTCCTCCCCCTCCTTTCCCTTCCTCCGCAGATGGCCATGCTGTGGCCCTGTCGCATGCTTGCTGCAGTCGAGGCACACTACACGCGTCGATGCCGCGTTACTAGCATGACCGCCCTCCTTCTCCCCCTCCTGCTCTATCCTCCTCCTCGATCCTCCTCCCTTTCCTCCTCCTCATCCTCATCCTCATCCTCATCCTTCTCCTCCCCCTCATACTCATTCTCCTCCTCCTCCTCCTCCTCCTCCTCCTCCATCCTCCTCCATATCCTTCTTCTCCTCCTTCTCTTCCTTCTCCTCCTCCTCCCGCCCCCTTCTCCTCCTCCCCATCCTCTCTCTTCCCTGTCCTCCTTCCCCTCCCCCCTCCCCCCCTCCCGCGGCCTGCACGGGGCGGTGGCCGCCGCCCGTCGCCGGTGGCTCGGCCGCAGCCGCCGCGGCCGTCATCGCCGCCGACGCCGCCGTCGCCGCCGCCGTGGTCGCCGCGGCCGTCGGTGCCGCCGCCGCCGTGGTCGCCGCCACCGCGCGTCGCCCCGCCCCCCCGCCGTCCCCTTGGCATCGCTCGGACGTGTGCAGTTTTCCTTCGGCGAGGACCATCGAGGAGCATCCTTGATCATTTGGCGAAAAAGCCACGCACGAAACCGAAAAAAGCACAGGGAATGGACGTCCGCGCGATGGCGAGTCCCCCCCCTCGCGAGCGACGAGCACGTCCGCGTCGAAGCCCTCTTCTGCGGTCCACCCAGGCGCGACGCCGTCGGCCTGCGCCTTGCGCGGGGCGTCCGCGGCGCCCTGTGTGTGAAGCTGTGGGCCCCAGCACTGGAAGCTGGACCGCGACGCCGTGGGATGTGTGTGTGTGTGAGTGTGTGTGTGTGTGCGTGTGCGTGTGTGCGTGAGTGCGTTTGTGCGTGTGTGTGTATGTGTGTGTGAGTGTGTGTGTGTGTGAATGTGTGTGTGTGTGTTTCCCGCCCCCGCCCTGGCGGCGCGGGTGGCAGTCGCGCCTCATCGCCGCCCTGGTCGCCGCCGCTGCCGTCGCCGTCGCCGTGAAGCAAGCGGATCCTGAGGGAAACGGGCCCCAAGGTTTTTGGCCTCTTTCGGGCTCCTGGAGACTTCTGCGGGCCTTGGGACCGGCAGACTTCGACGAGGGATGAAGACCTGGCTCTTGGGAAAGGCCCCCAAGTCCAGGACCCGTTTCCCTGACGACGCTCCATGCCAAGGGAAGCACCGCCCCCCAATCGCCCATGTGTCGCAGATCGGGGCCCGGAGGCCCCGACTCACCCATAAACGTGGGGGTTCCCCACCGGGGGCCTGATGCCGCGGCGAAGTACTGTCGATTGCAGCCCCCTTCCCCGTTGCAGTCCCCAGTCCCCCCTCTCGCTTTCGGCTCCCGTCGAAAGGTCTTGAGGGGGACGGGAACTGAAGGGTTGTCCTCCCGCGGGCCCCCAGGACTGTTAGAGAACGGAGCTGGTCCCGAGGTCCAGGACCCCGCTTCCACCGCAGAACCCGTCTCTCTTCATGCCAAAGTTCTTCCGGCCGCACCGTCCGAGGTGGTCGGGGGGAGGTATGTTGCTTGATGCTAGTGGCTGTAACGTTATCATGCTTCGGCGTTTTGGGGGCGGCTCCATTTGGCGGACCTCTGGAGACCCGCGGAGCCCTCTGGAGGCCTGGAATCTCTGCCGGAAGGAAATATCCATCATTGTTCAGGATTCCCTAGGAAGAGGAAGGAGGAGGAATAGGAGGAGGAGGAGGAGGACCTGACGCTCGCACAGATCGCAGGAGCCAGGTGGGGCTGCCAAAAAGCTCACTGGACCAGAATAAACACAGAACAGCAGGAACGGTGCTGCCATGCACCCTCCTGTCCCCAGCACCCGACTCACAGGCCTGCACACGCTTTTCTCTGTACTCCCAGGAAGCGCCCTCTCGAAAGGCCAGCCCTCATATGAGCTTGACATGCAGTGAGAACCCTGTGTTTCGAGCATTGCTTGCCCTCCTAGAAATTCAGTCAACCTTCTGGCATCGAGTTTGGAAGAAGTCTTGATAATTCAGGAGGGGAAAAAACACACAGACACAATTAATCGGCGATCCCCCGAAAATATGGGGAAATATGGGAGTTGGGCGGGAAGACAAAACCCAGAAGACATGGGAAAACATGGGGACCATTTTTATTTGTGTGTATGTATTGGTGTGTCCTACTTTCCCTTTAACAAGGAGCGCGCGGAGTGTTCCGAGCGGCCGCCCTCCACCCGTGCAGCCGCGGCACGGTGCAACACCACGGGCGTGCGCAGCGCTGCGGCGAGCGCCCTCGAGACGACTGCTCGGGGCGCCAGGGCTCGGGCTCCACTTCGAGAACCCCCCCCCCCCCCCTTCAGATCAGTGGGGCCGTGCAGAGTCTCGAGGCGAGAGCGCGCGAAGGGAAGGCGAGAGAGGGGGGGCCATTTTGTGAAAGGCCCCCCCCCCCCCCTCCCTCCATCATCGTGTGACTGTGGCAAGCTCTTTTGACACGGGTGTGCGCGGCGCAGAGGCGAGAAAGCCCCATTTTGGCTTCTCTTCCCCGTCCCGACTACTGCAACAGATTCCGGCGGATGTGCGCGACTCCAAGGCGAGAGGCCCCACTTCGATAGGCCATCACCACTCCGGTCGGGCAGCTGCTGCATCTTTCCGGCTTCAGGGCCACAAGTGGTGAGGATGTCTCAGGCGAAACGCCATGCCCGCCCTGCCGACACGCCCGGGGGGTGCGACAGGGAGGAGTTGCTCATGAACGGGATGGCAGACGAGGAGGAGGAAGGCCGGGGAGGCGATGCCCCGCCCTCCTCTCCCATGCCTTCTTTGCGTCCTCCCCTCCCCTCTTCCCTGCCCCTCCTCCTCTTCCTCATTCCTGCTCCTCCTGCTACCGCTCACGCCTCACCCATCGTCCTCCTCCTCGTCCCTCCTCCTCGCCCTCCCTCACTCCGACGACGGGGACGACCGTACAGGCACCGACGTCGGCGGCGGCGCCGACGACGGCGGCATCGACGACGAGGACGACGACATCCGCAGCCATTTTAGCTCAAGGTGCTTGTTGGCGCAGGTGCTTTCAGCCAGACATACGAAGTATCATCAGGCGGGTTCGTGGCGTGACGACGCGGCGGTGACCCGCCGAGGGTGTTCAAGGTGGAACGCCGCCAGTGGCCCAGAATCGGCCAACACGGAATGATCTGGCGATCGACAAGACGCCCATCGTTCCAGGCTGAGCGATTCACGTGGTGTCAGACACCGATGCCGAAGCTGTCACCATACGAACCTGCCGTCCAGCACTCCCCTTCCCTTTGCGAGGGCACCATGGCCGCTCTCCTGCGTCGTGGCCGCGGCCTTCTCAAGGGAGCCGCTGCCCCACCATCGGCGCGGCCAGCCTCAACGAGCATGGTGCAGTCTACGGTGACGGCCACGCCGAAGGTCCTCGCGGGCGCGGCCAGCGCGAGGAGCCCCCACGCGGTCGTGGACTGCAAGTCCATCAACGGGGGCAAGCAGCTCGTGGTCGAGTTCGCGGACAGCACGCGCTATGAGATGCACGCCTCCTGGCTGAAGGACTCCAACCCTGCCCGCGCGGGCGCGGACTACTACCGCACGTGCGCGGAGGATGTGTGGAGCGTCGGGAAGTTCAGGATCTCTGGCGCGGCGCCCCGGGGCGGCGGGGAGCAGCTCTCCGTCGACTACGCGCACGCCGAGACGGGCCCCGCCGGGCCCGAAGTCTTCCAGTCGAGGTGGCTCCACTCGATGGCGCCGTTCGTCGGCAGGGCCTTGCACTCCGAGGCGGCCCACGTGCCCGCCATCCGGGAGACCGGTAACCTCATGGACCATCTGATGGACAGCCGCAGGCCTTGGGACTCCAAGGTCGACATGCCCAAGTTCGACTCCAAGCTGCTCGAGACGGACGTAGATGCGCAGGTTGAGTTCTACGACTGTATGATCAAGACTGGCGTCGCAATGATCACGGGGATTGGCAAGCCAGACAGCTTGGAGTTCGAGCTCGGCGGCTTGCCGATGGAACAGCACGTCAGGAAGATCCTCGGCAAGTGCAACCAGCACCCGGTGCGGACCACGAGGTATTCCTACATTCGGAAGACAGAGAAGCCCCAGTCGGGGGACTACGATCACTCCAATCCGCTGTGCATGCACACCGACCACACCGTGTACCACGGCACCCCAGGCTTCTTCCAGTTCCTCTACCAGGCGGAGGGCGACGTGCGGAGCAAGGTATGCGACGGCCTCGCCATAGCCGAGTACGTGAAGGAACACCACCCGGAGGCCTACGAGTTGCTGACGAAGGTCCACATCACGCACAGTTCACGCAACAACCTGTACACCCGGGAGGGCAATCCGATCGACCCCACCGACCCCAACAGCAAGGGGGACGCGTTCGAGCTGTGCCACACACACCCAATCCTCGGCCTGGACGAGAAGGGCCGCTTGGACAAGGTGGTCCAGTCCGAGACCAAGCGCGGCGTCTGCGCGCTGCCCTACTCGGTGTACGAGCCCTTTATGGAGGCGTACGTGCTGTGGTCTCAACTCGTGGAGGACCCCCGCTTCGTCCACCACTTCGACTGGCCGGAGGGGACCATCGTCGTGACCAACAACTGGCGCGTCCTGCACGGCCGTGCGGCCGTGCCGCCGGGCATGTCCCGCGCCGTCGCCATCGGCTACGTCAACAAGAACGCGGTGGAGAACCGTTACCGGCTGCTGAGGCAGTACCAGGCCGAGCGAGCTGATCCGTCGATGGATCACAGGTGCCGAAAGAGCCACCAGAGGTCAAGTCGGGCCTGTCCCCCTAGAGGGGGGATCTTCGACGAAAATTAAAAAAAAATCCTGGCGAAGGACCCAACCATATGCAAACGTGAATACCGCAGGGCAGGTGGGACGAAGCAAAAGGAATTCCCAATATGGCCACGAACCGTGTGAGGGGTGCGCCACACTGGGGCGGGGCCGCCATGCGAACCCTGCCACTGAGGCCTTCGGTGGAGCTCCCTATGTCCCTACGGGGCCACGAACCGTGTGAGGGGTGCGCCAACATGGGGCGGGGCCGCCATGCGAACCCTGCCACTGGGGCCTTCGGTGGAGCTCCCTATGGGGCCACGAACCGTGTGAGGGGTGCGCCAAAATGGGCGGGGCCGCCATGCGAACCCTGCCACTGGGGCCTTCGGTGGAGCTCCCTATGGGGCCACGAACCGTGTGAGGGGTGCGCCAAAATGGGCGGGGCCGCCATGCGAACCCTGCCACTGGGGCCTTCGGTGGAGCTCCCTATGGGGCCACGAACCGTGTGAGGGGTGCGCCAAAATGAGGCGGGGCCGCCATGCGAACCCTGCCACTGAGGCCTTTAGTGGAGCTCCCTATGGGGCCACGAACCGTGTGAGGGGTGCGCCAAAATGGGCGGGGCCGCCATGCGAACCCTGCCACTGGGGCCTTCGGTGGAGCTCCCTATGGGGCCACGAACCGTGTGAGGGGTGCGCCAAAATGGGGCGGGGCCGCCATGCGAACCCTGCCACTGGGGCTTCGGTGGAGCTCCCTATGGGGCCACGAACCGTGTGATGGGTGTGCCGAAATAGAAGCATGCGGAGGGTGATGGTGATGATGACGACCATGTTGGTGCTGATGATGATGACGATGACGATGATGATGATGGCGGGTGATGACGATGATGCTGATGAGGATGAGACGAGGAGGGAGGAGGCAGCGGGAGGAGGAGGAAGGAGGAAGGAACGCGGGGCACCGTCTCTTCAAAACGAGGACCCAACACCACAGGATGGTTGGGAATGATTACTCCGATCCTCGTGAGGGGTGTGCCGACATGGGGCGGGGCCGTCATGCGAACCCTGCCACTGGCGCCTTCGGTGAAGCTCCCTATGAGGTCACGAACCGTGTGAGGGGTGTGCCGAAAAGGGGCGGGGCCGCCAAGCGAACCCTGCCACTGGCGCCTTCGGTGGAGCTTCCTATGGGGCCACGATTCTCGTGAGGGGTGCGCCGACATGGGGCGGGGCCGCCATGCGAACCCTGCCACTGGCGCCCTCGGTGGAGCTCCCCACAGGGCCACGATCCTCGTGAGGGGTGCGCCGACATGGGGCGGGGTCGCCATGCGAACGCAGCCACTGGGGCCTTCGGTGGAGCTCCCTATGGGGCCGCGATCCTCGTGCGGGGTGCGCCAGATTGGGGCGGGGCCGCCATGCGAAGCCTGCCACTGGGGCCCTCGGTTGAACTCCCTATGGGGCCGCGAACCGTGTGAGGGGTGCGCCAGAATGGGGCGGGGCCGCCATGCGAACGCAGCCACTGGGGCCTTCGGTGGAGCTCCCTATGGGGCCACGAACCGTGTGAGGGGTGCGCCAGAATGGGGCGGGGCCGCCATGCGAACGCAGCCACTGGGGCCTTCGGTGGAGCTCCCTATGGGGCAACGATCCTCGTGAGGGGTGCGCCGAAATGGGGCGGGGCCGCCATGCGAACGCAGCCACTGGGGCCTTCGGTGGAGCTCCCTATGGGGCAACGAACCGTGTGAGGGGTGTGCCAGAATGGGGCGGGGCCGCCATGCGAACGCAGCCACTGGGGCCTTCGGTGGAGCTCACTATGGGGCCACGAACCGTGTGAGGGGTGCGCCAGAATGGGGCGGGGCCGCCATGCGAACGCAGCCACTGGGGCCTTCGGTGGAGCTCCCTATGGGGCCACGAACCGTGTGAGGGGTGCGCCAGAATGGGGCGGGGCCGCCATGCGAACGCAGCCACTGGGGCCTTCGGTGGAGCTCACTATGGGGCCACGAACCGTGTGAGGGGTGCGCCAGAATGGGGCGGGGCCGCCATGCGAACACCACAGGATGGTTGGAAACTAATGGCCATGGCGATGATGATGGCGATGATCATGCGAGTGGTGATGATGACGATGATGATGATGATGATGATGATGATGATGATGATGATGATGATGATGATGACGATGATGGGAGAAGAGAGGAGGGCAGCGGGAGGTGAGACGCGGGGCGCTGTCTCTTCAAAACGAGGACCCAACACCACAGGATGGTTGGGAACAAAAAAAGGAAAACAAACAAAAAAAACATTTTCCGGGCGAAGGACCCAACCATATGCAGCTGTGAGTACCGCAATTGTGAGTATCTTCTTCGGTGGCGCTCCCCATAAGGCCCAGAACCGTATGAGGGGGGTGCCGAAATGTGGCGGGGCACACAACGCAAAGGAATACGATGGGTCTGGTTACGAGAGAACGAACGCAGGTGAGTCAGAGCGCGAGTGAGTCTGAGTGTGAATGGGTCTGCGCGCGAGTGATGTAATTTGCACGAATGCGATCATGGCTACGCCTAGTGTAAATGTATATGAACGTGAATTGCTCGAGCATGCCTGTCCGAACACTCGTGACACTGGGCTTGGCCGCCGCGGGCAACTTCCGCGGGAACCCCGACGGCAGCGCCCGCGCGCCGCGACGCCCATGTCGGCACGGCCCTTGCGAGGATCGCGCCCGCTTTCGCCCCTTCTTTTCCTCCCTCTTTGCGCGCGCACCCCAAAAATCCAACATTCCGACATGGGGCGGGGCCGCCATGCGAACCCTGCCACTGGCGCCCTCGGTGGAGCTCCCCACAGGGCCACGATCCTCGTGAGGGGTGCGCCGACATGGGGCGGGGTCGCCATGCGAACCCTGCCACTGGGGCCTTCGGTGGAGCTCCCTATGGGGCCGCGATCCTCGTGCGGGGTGCGCCAGATTGGGGCGGGGCCGCCATGCGAAGCCTGCCACTGGGGCCCTCGGTTGAACCCCCTATGGGGCCGCGAACCGTGTGAGGGGTGCGCCAGAATGGGGCGGGGCCGCCATGCGAACGCAGCCACTGGGGCCTTCGGTGGAGCTCCCTATGGGGCCACGAAGGGGTGCGCCAGAATGGGGCGGGGCCGCCATGCGAACGCAGCCACTGGGGCCTTCAGTGGAGTCCCTATGGGGCCACGATCCTCGTGAGGGGTGCGCCGAAATGGGGCGGGGCCGCCATGCGAACGCAGCCACTGGGGCCTTCGGTGGAGCTCCCTATGGGGCCACGAACCGTGTGAGGGGTGCGCCAGAATGGGGCGGGGCCGCCATGCGAACGCAGCCACTGGGGCCTTCGGTGGAGCTCCCTATGGGGCCACGAACCGTGTGAGGGGTGCGCCAGAATGGGGCGGGGCCGCCATGCGAACGCAGCCACTGGGGCCTTCGGTGGAGCTCCCTATGGGGCCACGAACCGTGTGAGGGGTGCGCCAGAATGGGGCGGGGCCGCCATGCGAACGCAGCCACTGGGGCCTTCGGTGGAGCTCCCTATGGGGCCACGATCCTGTGAGGGGTGCGCCGAAATGGGGCGGGGCCGCCATGCGAACGCAGCCACTGGGGCCTTCGGTGGAGCTCCCTATGGGGCCGCGATCTCGTGCGGGGTGCGCCAGATTGGGGCGGGGCCGCCATGCGAAGCCTGCCACTGGGGCCCTCGGTTGAACCCCCTATGGGGCCGCGAACCGTGTGAGGGGTGCGCCAGAATGGGGCGGGGCCGCCATGCGAACGCAGCCACTGGGGCCTTCGGTGGAGCTCCCTATGGGGCCACGAACCGTGTGAGGGGTGCGCCAGAATGGGGCGGGGCCGCCATGCGAACGCAGCCACTGGGGCCTTCGGTGGAGCTCCCTATGGGGCCACGAACCGTGTGAGGGGTGCGCCAGAATGGGGCGGGGCCGCCATGCGAACGCAGCCACTGGGGCCTTCGGTGGAGCTCCCTATGGGGCCACGAACCGTGTGAGGGGTGCGCCAGAATGGGGCGGGGCCGCCATGCGAACGCAGCCACTGGGGCCTTCGGTGGAGATCCCTATGGGGCCGCGAACCGTGTGAGGGGTGCGCCAGAATGGGGCGGGGCCGCCATGCGAACACCACAGGATGGTTGGAAACTAATGGCCATGGCGATGATGATGACGATGATGATGCTAGTGGTGATGATGACGATGATGATGATGATGACGATGATGGGAGAAGAGAGGAGGGCAGCGGGAGGTGAGACGCGGGCCGCTGTCTCTTCAAAACGAGGACCCAACACCACAAGATGGTTGGGAACAAATAAGCAACAAAGAATCCGAAAATCGTCCGGGGACTATGTTCTGAGTATTTGTTTTGCCTTTGTGGTGCATTTTGTGGGTATTTTTTGTGTTTCGTCGACAATCCCCCCTGTAGGGGGACACGCCCGACTTAAACCAAAGGGCACCCTCGCACAATCCTGCGGAGGTCCGCGCGGGTGTTTTCTGGGGCCGGCGCCGGGGATCCACGGCGGCGCCCGGTCCGCGCGCCGTGCGCCCGGGGGGACAGGGGGCGGAGAGGGGGCCTCGGGAAATCCGCGCTTGGCCTTCACAGGATTGTGCCCATGCCCAGGGGAAGGGGAAGGGGGGGAGGAGGAGGAGGAGGAGGAGGAGGAGGAGGAGGAGGAGGAGGAGGAGGAGGAGGAGGAGGAGGAGGCCCAGGCCAGGCCAGCCAGGCCAGGCCAAGCCCTCGACCCGCAGCTCCCAAGACGCCAGGCCCTTGGCATCGCTCGGACGTGTGCATTTTTTTCTCGGCGAGGACCTTCGAGGAGCATCCTCGACCATGTGGCGAAAAAGCCACGCACGAGGTCGAAAGAGGCACAGGAAATGGACGTCCGAGCGATGGCCAGATGCGCTTGTGCTGTTGACTGAGGTGGCTGACGCGGCTGCCGAACCAGGCCCTGGAGAGGATGGTGCTGTGAGCTGGTCCTCTTCGGCGGGGCCGTAGAGGGTGATGAGGTGGAGGGCGGCGTCGAGGGAGAAAGAGAAGGGGGGAGGGAGAGGAGGAGCAGGGAGGCCCCGAGCCAGCCCCTTAAGGAGGCTTCGGGGCCGCTCCTTTTTGCGCGACTGTGCTTCGTGGGAGACGCAGTGGTGCACGATGCTATCGAATGGCTTTCGGCCGATCCCGCCACCGTGCCTGGGTTGTGTCAGGCGATCGCAAACATGGATCAAGGGGGCGTGGATTAGCGACGGGTGCCGCTTCCGGAGGAAATCGCGGATTGCCGCCGCCGATCGAGGCGGCATCGGCCGCATTCTGGGGAGGGCACCTCCCCCGATCCATAGATTTGGCGACCGCGCGCCAAATCCATTGATCGCTAATCCATGGTTGCGCGCCCCCGAATGAGGCCTATTGGATGTTCCTTGGGGTCTCGTGGGAGGCCTCTCGGGTGCCTCTCGGGGACAGTTCTACTGCCTCGTGGGGGCCGTTTTGGGGGCCTCCTGGGGTCTCTTTTGGGGAATCTTAGGCGCCTCTTAGGGGCCTCTTGGGGGACTCCTGGGGCCCCTTGCGCGCCCCGTGGGTGGGGCCTCCCAGTGGCCTCTTGGCGCGGAAGGCTCGGATTTGTGGTTCGTGCTCCCTCCCTTTTCCCCACTTTTGGGGCCGTCTTGGGGCTGTCTTGGGCGCCTCCTGGGCCGTCTTGGGGTGCTCCTGGGCCGTCCGGGGGGCCCTCTTGCGGGCCTCTTGGGCAGTCTTGGGGCGGTCCTGAGGGCCTCTTGTGCCGACTTGGAGCGTCGGGAGACAGAAAAGGCGAGAACTCCCAAATTCTTCAAACACCGGAAGAGAATCAATGAGTTGTGCCTCTTGGGGTCCTCTTCGGAGGCTTCTTGGAGGCCTCTTCGGGCGCCTTGGAGGCCTCTTGGGCTATCTTGAGCCCATCTTGGGCGCCTTGGAACGATCTTTCGGCGATTCCGGGCCCTCTTGGACCGTCAAGGCGGCCTCCTGGGGCCGTCTCGGCCCGTCTCGGGGCCCTCGTGGGCCCGACGACCTCTGCGCAGAGAGGCCCGGAACCCCAGGGGGGGCACGCGGCGAGCCCCGGGGGAGTTGGCAGTGTGGGGGTCTGGGCCCTTGACAGACTCCTCCGGAGTGTTCAAGGGATTCGGCAAAGGGCCCGAGGACACGCCCACCCCGTGCCCGGCGGCACGGTGGCGGATTTAGGCATGCAGTCAACCCGCATTGTGAGGATGATAGACTCTCCAAGGGTACCCTTTCATCCTTCCCCTTCGGCCCACCCTTGGCCGCTTTCGCTGGCGCGCCCCGCCCGCAAGGTGTCGGCATGGCCTTCGAAGGCCCTCGCGTCCTTATTGCGTGTGCTTGCTATGCGGGTTGACTGTAGAGATAACTTGATTGTTTTGTCGATGTGCCTCGCAGTTTTATCTGGCGCCCATGGGCCTGGAACAGGGAAGATGTTGGGGCACGACCCCCCGCAGGCCGCGCGTTCCCAGATTAGATCGGGACGGTCGAAATGGGTACGGAAAGCCAGTGCGATGCCGAACAGCAGCTGCTCAGTTTGAACAAGACTCGTTGTCCGCGCCGCCGCGGACGTTGTTCACTGAAGACATCAAGCCGCCTGCCCAATAGCGGCCGCTGTCGGTTTTGGACAGCATTCGTTGTTTGGCAGTGTACCCGTTTTTTTCTGTACCCATGTCGGGCGTCCAGATTCGAGTCGATGGCACTGGTAATTTCTCTATCCGGGTCAGAGTTGTACAGGCGGCAGCGGCCTCCCCACTCCTCCGTCCTCTTCCCAATGCCCCCATCGAGTCATGAGAAAATCACGACGGGAGGTGTTTCGCATTTTTCGGCCTCTGGGGCCCCTTCCAGGGCCTCGGGACCGTCAAACCACGATTCAGGCTGAAACGCCGGTCCTGGGGAATGGGTCGAGACCTTTCGGGGCCGACTTCATGAACACATCATCACGTCGGCAAGTCGGGGTTCGGTGGCAGGAAGGATGCGGCTCACGGGTCCCGGCGGGCACGAGTCCTGGAGCCTGGGGCGTGTCGTCACTGCCCCGAGGAACGAAACCCCAGGACCAGATGTCTCACCGCCCGGCTTCTCTGTGCCGGTTCGCTCCTCTCCTCCCCCTCGCTCCCCCTCGCAGGCCTCGCCCACAACAGCATTGCTTCACGCGGGCGGTGTGCAGAGCTGCGCCCTCTCGTCGCGCGCTGTTCGCGCGGCCGGGCGCATGCGCCCGTCCATGCCGACCTTTCGAGCGTCGCGTCGCCCCAGCTCGGGAGGGCCGGACTGGTGGCGGAGAGAGCGGGGGCAGAGCCCAGCTGCAGTTCCTGCGCCCTAATGTACGGGGCGTGAAAACGACCACAGCCACTGCTTTTCTTTTGATGCCGCCTTCCAGCCCGCAGCAACACAGCAGTGGTTGTGGTCATTTTCGTTGAGCTTGGCACCAGGGAAATAACCCAAACCACTGCTTCTTTTTCGGCCGGCTGGAAGGCGGCGCAAACAAGAAGCAGTGGCT